ATCCTCCTGGACACATTTTGTGTGTGGAGAAACAAACACAGGCATGTTTAGCATAAGTATTTTCTTCCCTCTTTTATTGACTAATTTTCTACACCTTAATTTTTTTCACTTAAAATATCTTGGAGATCTTGCAATGTGTATACATAAAGATAGTGTCCTCATTTGTTGAAGAGTACCCTCATTTTTTATGGCTCTATCATATTCCATTATATGAATATGCATAATTTATTTAAATAATCATTTATTGAGATATCTAGATTGTTTTCAATCTTCCATTATTACAAATAAGGCTGCAATGTGCAATCTTGTGAACATCTCATTCTCTATGCATGTGACTAAACCTATAGGATAAATTCCTGGCACTGGCTTTAATAAGTCAAAGCAAATAGATATTCACAATTTTGAAGGCTATTTCCAAACAACCCACCATAAGGTTGTACCAATTTATTTTCCCACTAGTCATATATGAGAGCACCTGTCTTCTCACGTTCTTGCCAACACAGTGTGTTGTTAATTTTTTTATCATTGCCAATCTAATACGTGAAAAATAGATGTCTATTTATGTTTAAACAACATTTGTGTTCCATTTTCTATGGACTTTTTTGCATATTTTTTATTGGATTTTTGGTCTTTTTCTTTTGATTTTTAGGAGTTCTTTCCTTATAAAGAAAATTAACCCTTGTCTATTGAGTTTCAAATATTTCCCCTTTTTATAATTATCTAGTGACTTTTTATGATAGGTTTTGCATTGCGGAAAAGCATTCCTTTTATTCACTCTCTGAAGCATCTCACTAAGTTGGGAGATGCTCATCAAATAAGCCAAACTTTCCTAGATGGCAGGAGGCATCAGGAAGTTTGGCTGGGGAAAACTTCCTGCTGCCTCCTGAAGTTTGAACTGGGGAAAACTTCACTTTTGAAGGCTTCCTCTCCTGTTTGATCCCACCCTTAATTACTCCCTGGTAATGATATTGTCACAGAATTCAGCCCACTGAATACATCAAAATCACTAACCATGACTTGCAGCAGTAACAGAGTGCAAAGGAAGCCAAGTTTCCTGCCCTTTGGCCTCCCAGCTAAGTCAGAGGAAAATAATGCTCTGAAAATCCCCAGAGAATACTGTTGACACATCAGCTTTCATTCCTCCTGCATTTACTTCCTCCGTACAATTCAACTAGAACAGTCCTTCCTAGGTAGTCATTCAATGAATGGGACTGGGCTGAATGAAGAAAAATAGACCTGTGGGTGGGTTACGAAATGGATGGGAAGAGAAAATAAAGAGTAAATGAATAACAGGAGAAATCACACTGTAAGTAAGGGGCATTTCATGACAGGAATGAAATTGCTTCTGCCACAAGCAGGCAAACAAATTTCTTCACACAAGGAAAGGGGGAGTGTGTTTCAGGAGGCCAAACATCAGTCTTGGCAGTGAATTTCAGGACCCCAGGGATTGTGACAATAGGAGACAGAAGTGATGCCCCTTTTTGAAGGTCTAGGAAGACAGGTAGGCAGCAATTCTATAACATCACCAAGAAAATTCGCTAAGGCAGCTTTGGAGAAGATGCTGGTTTCTTCTGCATTTCTCAGCCTGATCCATGGCAGTTACCGAAAGCCCCCACAACCTTCAGCCTCAGCTGCTCAGCATCTGAGCGAATTCTGGCTCTGCCTTGCTGGACACTGAAAGCCCTTTCCCCATCCTATGGCAAGTGAGTAGTCTACACCTCTGGAATTATACTGCTGCCACTCTCTGCATTTCCTCTTCTCTCATGCATCCCTTTCCCTCCATCCCACCACACTGTGCTCTGCAGCACCGGGCAGTGCAGTCCTGCCCTTCCCAAGTCTGGGCTTCTGCCTGGCTTCCTGACTCACTCAGCCGCCTGCTCTCGTTGGAACATTGCCCTAAACTTCAGCCTCCTTGGCAAGGGAACTGACAGCCCAGCTGGCCACTAGACACCATCCCGTTCCTCTCAGCAACCAGCCAGAGTCCTGTTTCAACCCGGATGGTCCTCCCCACCCCCCATCCTCTGGTGCCCCCGCTCTTCCTGACCACCAACTGAACATTCCATTATCCAACGTTCAGCTTTGCCCCTGCTGTATTCCCCTCCCTCCACTAGGAGGGAACCCATGGATATCTGCACCGGCTACATCAAGCCCAGATTCCGCCCCCACACACACACCAGCTCCAATAAGTACATTTATTAACTTATGTAATAAGAAGTCCAGAGATAGGAAGATTCCAGGGTTGGTTCATTTCATGACTCTCAAGTGTCATTAAGGACCTAGAGTCTTTCATCTTTCTGCTCCGCCATCCCCACCTAATGCCTACTCTTCACAAGTTGAGTTCTGCAGCTCTCAGTGATCATGGTGAGCTGGAGTTGGTTCCCACAGGCTCCTAAGAGCCAGTTGCTAAATATTCAGGAATTTTGCCTGTCAGTTACCCAGCTTGCAATTGGCCATAATGGGAAAATTTACACCACAGAAATGGAAATAAACAAATGTTACAAATCAGGGCTTTTCATTTTTTGGAGAGGGTGTTAGCAGCAGGTTAATGCTGCATCACATCTTCACACAATAAAATTTAGAAACAGAAAGGGTCTATTTCTCAAATACACCTTTTTTTTAAGAGCATAGAAACTTTTTCTGAAAGCTTCATAGAAAATCCTCCACCCCCACTCTCACCCTCCCAACTTCCTTGTCCTGATTCTGTCACATGCCCATGTTTTAACCAAAGATTGGCAAATGAACAGGATGATGACAATTTTCCTAAAGTATGGGCGCCTGATACCTGAACATCAGGGTTTTCTTAGCTGGAAACAGGGTAGGAGGTGGTGTTTGTGTGAGGAATCAGCAGGATTTGTCTCATGCACATACACACATTCTGCCAGACGATTCAGAGCTTCTCTCTCTGCCCCGGACCACCGTGGAGATTTCAGCAGGTTTACAGGGCAGAAAGGATTACATGTTAGCCCAGAAGAGAATTACGTTAATTCTGTTTGTTTGCTTTTAGAGATGGAGCCTCACAAGGTTACACAGGCTAGACTTGAACTAGTGGACTCAAACAGTCCTCCTGTTGCAGCCCCCTGAGTAGCTGGGACTAAAGGCACGTGGCACCATGCCCAGTCACATTAATTTTTATGTGTTGACATGCTATTTTAATTAAGTTAAATAAACACAAGACTAGCTCTCATTAGGCAGTTTACTCAAAATTTTCTCCATTCAGGCTTAATCTAATCCTGATTTTCTCTCTGGCTTGAGTAGACTGTAAAGTTGGAATGCACCTGAATCTTTTTTGGGAGCCAGCTTCTTCAACGGCTTGTCTGAAGTTGCAAAACTTTCAAGGAGATTGTGAAGTATCAGACTCTCTATGCCATCTGTCTTCACTGGCTCCCAAGAAGGGACCCCAAAACTGCTCTTGAATAATTACAAGAAAGTGTCTAAATTGCACTTCTCTGCATCCCATTCAGCTTTTTGAGTCTTTTTCCTTTCTTTAATGAAAAAAGAAATAGAAACCTGACCATATACGCCTGTGTTTGTGCACAATGAGATCGGCTTAAAATCGATTTTAAGACAGCCAAGCACACTGGCTCACACTTGTAATCCCAATACTTTGGGAGGTCAAGTCGGGAGAATTCTTGAGCCCAGGAGCCTGAGACCAGCCTGAACAACATAGCGAGACCCCATCTCTACAAAAAAATTAACTAGCACACCTGTAATCCCAGCACTTTGGGAGGCCAAGGTGGGTGGATCACTTGAGGTTAGAATTTCGAGACCAGCCTGGGAAACATGGTGAAACCCCATTTCTACTAAAAATACAAAAATTAGCCGAGTGTGGTAGTGGGCACCTGTAATCCAGCTACTCGGGAGGCTGACTCAGGAGAATCACTTGAACTCAGGAGGTAGAGGTTGCAGTGGGCCGAGATAACCCCACTGCACTTCAGCCTGGGCAACAGAATGAGACTCTGTCTAAAAAAAAAAAATTAGCCAGGCATAGTGGCACACATCTGTAGTTCCAGCTATTCGGGGGGCTAAGGCAGAAGGCTCGCTTAAGCCAAGCAGTTTCAGGCTGCAATGAGCTATAATTGTACCACTGCACTCCAGCCTGGGTGACAGAGTGAGACCGTCTCTAAAAATAATAATAATAGTAACACTTTTGCACAAGCCTCTGTAGGGCATAAAAAGAACTGCAAAGCCCAGTCCTTCACTTCAAGAACTAAGCAAATGAACAGTGTAAGGAAAAAAAAACAAAAAACAAAAAAAAAACAAACAACTGTAGCCATTTGGGAAAAGGATAAATCATTCCTGGGTAGGTTAGCAATTTTGGTTTTTTAATTAATGTTTTCCACTATTTTATTCTATTATAAAAATGTTCAAACAGAAAAGTTGGAAGGATGGCACAATGAACACCATGTCCCCATAAGTTAGATTTAATACCTGTTCATATTCCGCCATATAACCTATCTAAATATTTTGCCACCCATTTTAAAGGCAGCTGCAGTCATTGTAAAAGGATAAGGTAGTCAGCCTTAATGTTTTAGTATGGGCTGGGCGCAGTGACTCACGCCTGTAATCCCAGCATTTTTGGGAGGCCGAGGCAGGTGGATTGCCTGAGGTCAGGAGTTTGAGACCAGTCTGGCCAACATGACAAAACCCCACCTCTACTTAAATACAAAAATTAGCCAGGAGTGGTGGCTGACGCCTGCAATTTCAGCTACCCCGGAGGCTGAGGCAGGAGAATTGCTTGAACCCAGGAGGCGGAGGTTGCAGTGAGCCAAGATTGTGCCACTGCACTCCAACCTGGGTGACAGAGCAAGACTCTGTCTCAAAAAAGAAAAGAAAACACTTCAGTATACAACTCTTTAAAAAGGACATTTGCTTAAAATCCATAATACCTTTATCATATCTAAGGTAATATTTCTTTAATATCATCAAAAATCTAGTCGATATTAAAATTTTCCTAGTTGTTCCAAAAATATAGTATAGGATATAGTATAATATGATATGATTTTGCAAACCAGATTTATATATTGCATTTGATAGTTACACCTCTTTAGTTTAATCTGCAAGAGTTCTTCTATTTTTTTTTTTTTTAAATAACATTGATCTTTGAAAGTAACAGACTAGTAAATGGTCCCAAATTCTGGATTTGTCTGATTGTTATCTCAAGGTGTTAACTTGTTTTTCCAGACTTGATGTCCTGTTCAAATAAAGGACGGATTAGATTCAGACAGAATCAATCATGGTCCTGACTGGAAGCAGATAACATAATCAAAGGGTCTAACTGAAGGATGTGACATGAAGGGACTATTTACAGATGTGTGAGCAGGCACAGGGAACAAGGGATGGTGAGGCACTCTGGGACTGCTGCCCCTAGGTCTGCAGCAGCCTGAGCTGAGTGCAGTTACTGAAGCTCTGCAGGAGCTGGAGCTGGGTCCCTACCAGGAGCCATGGATATCGCAGCAACACGGTCACCGCCAAAATTGCACCAGGGCAGGGAGTGGGGTGGTGGGGAACAAATACCACAACATCTCTCTCCTCTACCTTCAAAATGGCTGCTGCAGCCCCTGCATTGACCAAATCTAACCAAAGCCAAAAAGCAAAGGAACCTGGGCAATAGAGTCTGCAGAGGAGAGTCTCCAGTGGTGCAGGGCTGGATGGTGAAAGGTTCGGAATGGATTTATAAGAGCAAATGGAGAATGATGAGCACAGAGCTTTGACGTTTTTAGCTGGAATGCTTTATAGGTCATGCTGTGTGAACTTCAAATTGCATCACATCAGGGGAAACGAAATGTTAGGTTGTCTCACCCATTAACTAAGCTTGATTTGACCCCTCCGCTAAAGCAAAGCTAGCCACATCTCCCCACTGAGATGTAAAGGTGTGTTTTCACTTTGCAATCAGCAAGTGATCCAGCGGGAGACACTTGGCACCAGGGGGATTCGTGCTTTTGCCCCAATAACTTTTTGCATCATTGTTTCAGTATCCATGAATGATTCTTGCCTGAATCAGTCATTTCAATGGGAGTTGTAAAATGTTGATTTTTCTGATTTCTTTATCATCCCGTATTTGGACTGGAATGAAAATCGTGAAATTTTATATATTAAAAATAGCTGAATTTAAACCATTTCATAAGATTCAAATGAAAATATTTATTACCTAGCACTGTTTGGGGAGGAAATCTTTCCTCAAATGGGGAAAACCTATAGTTCCTCCTAAAAAAGAGGGAGTTAAAGTTTACTTCTTTTCCTTTCTATACCAGTTGTCAAAGTGAGAGTCAAATGAGTGTTAAACTGCTGCTTTTCTTCTCTTCCTCCTCCTTTTTCTCGTCTACTTCCTCCTCTTTTTTCTTCTTTCTCTCTCTCTTCACTTTTTCTTCTTAATGCCCGAATTGTCCCAAATTTAGTCAGTGAGAACTCCTTCAAGCCACCCCCTTGATCAGGCACTGTTAGTCTTGGAGGAATTTCCTTCTGGAACTATGGTATGCCTAGGCTTACCTGGGTTAAGTTATATTTCTCTGCCCCAGACCTCCAAAGAACCTTGCTAATTTTAGTAGAAAATGATATTTAGAGGCTGGGCATGGTGGCACACACCTATTATCCCAGCACTTTCAGGGGCCACAGTGAGAGGATCTCTCCTAAGCCCAGGAGTTTGAGACCAGACTGAACAACGTGGTGAAACTCCCTCTCTCCAAAAAATACAAAAATATTAGCTAGGGGTGGTGGTGTATACCTGTAGTCCCAGCTACTTTGAAGGCTGAGGTGGGAGGATCATCTGAGCCCAGGAAGTCAAGGCTGCAGTGACCGAGACACTGCACTCCAGCTTGAGCCATGAAGTGAGACCCTGTCTTTAAGAAAAGAAAAGAAAATGCTATTTAGAAACCAGTAGGTGTTCTCTTTGCCACTGAGCCATTATTGCTTCTAGGCTCTTACAGTAAACACAGCCTATGCGCACGCCTGCATGCACACACACACGCACACACACACCCTTAAAATCAGGAGTTCACATTAACACTTCCAATTCAAATTTAATGTTATCAGATACTCAGGAATTTATGATGAGGAGCAAGGATTTAAGTTGGCCGTGAGAGGTACATACAGTATTTTTTTTTTTAATAATTTTTTTCGGCCAGGCATGGTGGCTCACACCTGTAATCCTAGCACTTTGGGAGGCCGAGGAGGACGGATCATGAGGTCAGGATATTGAGACCATCCTGGCCATGGTGAAACCCCGTCTCTACTAAAATACAAAAAGTTAGCCGGGTGTGGTGGTGCGCACCTGTAGTCCCAGCTACTCAGGAGGCTGAGGCAGGAGAATCGCTTGAATCCAGGAGAAGGAGGTTGCAGTGAGCCGAGGTCTTGCTACTGCACTCCAGCCTGGGTGGCAGAGCGAGACTCTGTCTCCAAAAAAAAAAAAAAAAAAAAAAAAAAAAAAAAAAAAAAAAAAAAAAAAAAAAAAAAAAAAAAAAAAAGAAAAGAAAATTATTTTCTATACTATAATCCTACTTATAAAGAAAAACAAAACTAAGAAAAGAGAGAATAAATTTATCAACAACCTCACCCTTTTAACACATCCACTCAATCTTTTTATGTAAGTCCTTGGTGGTTAGAGAGCTGAAGAAAGGAGCTTCCAAACAGGAAAGTACCAATCCCAATGTAGAATTTAGGACCTGAAATGAAAAGTTTATATATAAACATTTCTCATCTTTAGGCTTCTCTTTACCTCATACTTTCTGGGTGCGTAACCTTTTCACTGTCTCTGACTGTCAAAATCATATCCATCCTCAAGAGCTTTCCCCAACTCCCCCAGCGCAGTGTAGCCTTGCCCTACCTGCAGTGCGTTTCCGGGGATCTGACACCACTTTTCACTTGACACATTTTAGAGGTATGTGTGGACCTGCCATATCTCCCTAACTAGTTCCCAGCTACTTATAGTCAGGAACTGCATCTGGTTGTCTTTGTATTCTAAACGCCCTTAGCTCAGTAACTCATATATAAGAAGCTTTCAGTAAACATTTGCTACAAGAAATTCAACTGTGGAGAGTCCCAAAATGAATCTAACAGGTTTGCACTATATTGTGCAGACCCTCACAACTGTTCTCCTAGATTAAAGGAAACTTTCCCCATGCCGCTCCATCTTTCACCCTGAAACCTTGCGCTTATGTTATTTCTAATTATTAGAGTTGCCTAGTAATATTTCTACTTTAAGGCTGCTTCTTATTTTCAAATAACAATTTTAAACACCTTTAAGTGGAATATATTAGTTTTTTTAATGTCATTAGGTTGAGGTGTAAACAACATTCTAATGCTTCACAAGGGAGGTGACTGAATTGCCTCCTTTATAGGCTATAAAGAAAAAGACAAGCTGGTGATATTTTTTAAACATGATAGAGGCAGATGGATACATTATTGTAAGAGACCTAGAGGTCTCTTTCAGCTCTCAAATTTTCATTGAGCTATATAAATTTACACAGTCCCACCTGTCATATGACTAAATTAAATTGGTTTGGAGCTAAACCTCATTATTGGCAAATGTAATAGTAATTTCAATAATACTCGACAATACAGAAATTGGTTGGCCTCTATTTTCTTAACTACAAGGTGAGAAAGTTGAATTAATTGATCTCTATAGTCATGAAGCACTATAGTTATGAAACACCCCATAAATCTTTTGGGAGTCTATTATTGCTAAGATACATGCTTTCTATGATATTGTTTAGAATAATTTTTTGGCTCCTAAATCTTCCTCAAAGCTGATAGATTTTCTAAAGAATAAATTTAGCTTTATTGAATACCTTTAGATTCTTAACACAGGTACTCTAGTAGGGAAAAGGAAAAAGGAAAAACAGACATATTGAAAGAACATTAAACACAGGTTTGAATCCCAACTCTGTTACTTACAAACTATATGACATTTGGCAATTTACTTACCCTTGATGTAACAAACTGAATGTTTGTGTCCCTAAAAATTCATATGCCAAAACCTAATCTCCAATGTGATAGTATTTGACAACGGGGTCTTTGGGAGGTAATTAGATCATAAGGGTGGAGTCCCTGTGAATGGGATTAGTGCCCTTATGAAAAAGACTTGAAAGAGCATCCTTTCCCCTTCCACTATGTGAGACCACAGAGAGAAGAGGCCTATGAACCAAGAAGTAAGCCCTCATCAGACACCAACTCAGCTGGGGCCTTGATTTTGGACTTCTCAGACTCTAAAACTGTGAAAAATAAATTTCTGTTTATTTTAAGCCACCTTGTCTATGGAATTTGGTTATAGCAGCCTAAATGGACCAAGACACTTGGTATTTCCATCTAAAATTAAATAATTCCTATTTTGTGGTATTGTTATAAGGTTAAATTAGATAACCTAAAAGATAGCCCCTGGCATACCACCTGGCAAATTGTAGATAATGAATAAATGTTTATTGAGATGCCCCTTACTATAGATTTGGTGGAAAGTGGTGGTTGGATATCCCAGGTCAGATTGTCCATTGTAATCAAGGGTTTTTTGTTTGTTTGCTTTTTGTCAGCATCAGAAATTACCACGGCTAGCTTAAACAAAAGGAAATTTACTAGGAGGATATGGGAGAGATCACATGAAAGGGAAGGCTAGAGAACCAGGCCAGCAAATGACAAGAAGTAAAGACATGTCAGGGTTTGTGTGGTGAGAATATTTCAGTAGTCTAGACAGAGTGTTGCTTTGTCTAGTGTTACTAGAATAAGTGAGATTTAACTATTTTCAGTCTCTGTCCCACTGATTGAGATTCAGGTCCCTTTTAGATTAGCTTGCATCTTACCGTTTCCACGTGGCTGGGGGAAGTCAGGGCAAAACAGTCCCACCATTCGCAACCAAAGGGAGAGAAGCAATTCCTGAAAAGGAGAATATTAATGTTATTGCCAAAAGATAGTGACTAGATACAGGACTGCCAAAATTACAAAACATAAATTTCCACTAATCCCCAACACTTTTGTATTGTGGGAATCTATGAAGTATTTGGGACTGGAAAGTACTATATAGAAGAGCTTCTAGAACTCCCCAAAATACCCAGTTCCTGCAGGTGCAAAAGTTACCAGCTGTGGATTGAACTACCTTCCCCCCTAGTCTGGAAGGTTCTTCTCAAAACAAACAGTTGTACCCGAGTTGTGCGGCTGTGTAGGCCCTCTCTCTCCTTTATCAAATCCTGTGACATAAGCCTCCATCTCCTCATCACCCATTCATCATCAAAAACTCTGTGCCTCACTGGAGGCTTAAACTCAAATCTTTGCCTGTATGAAATTTCTGGCTACCAACGCAGTTAGTCTTCTGAATCTTTGCACCTAACATTTTCCCTTTGATATTGTAGTTTATTTAGTTGAAGTGGTATCTATGTTACTCACCTCATTATGCTTCAGAGTGTGTGTGTCTGCGCGTGTGTGCATGTGTGTGTGTCAGAGTAAAATGAAACGTGTGAGCAGAACATTTTTATACCACTATTTACTACTGAGTCTAATGAGTGTAATACAGTCTGCTATCATGCATCCTAGAAATTATTATAAGACAGAGTTACAAAAAAGAAAAATCTCATCATAAACCAGTGAGAAAGTGGCAAGTACCCAGGGATCTGGTTTCTAGTTCAGCTTTGTCACAAATAATCGAGGCTGCCATAGACTCTACTTATCTCTCTGGACTTGCATTTTCTCTCAATAAAATAGGAGGCCTGAACCATATCTGGTCTCTAAATCTCTCCCTGCTTTTACATTCTGTGACTCCACACAAGGTACAGCCAGACCCTCCATGAGAGCTAAAAAGAAAAGCTAAAGCAAAGCAAGGGGACAGATGGGACCAGGGCTCTAGTTGAGATGCCACAGTCAGGAAAGGTCTCTCTGGGGAAGGGGCAGTAGAACAGAAGCTGAAGGAAATGAGGAAGTCGACATGTGGATATCTGGGATAAGAGCACCCTAGGCACAGCCTTTCTCTGATGGTACGCAACGCTCTACTCAGCATGATAAAGACTTTCATCCTCCAACGGATTTCCCATCCCAGTCAACTAGGAACGATGCATACAGAGATAATGCCAATCCAAGACAAACCCCACACAAGATGGATGGGGCACAATAGGGACTGATTGGTGCCCATGACTGAGCTGCAGTCTAGAAGGCATGCTGTAGAGGGTGGGGATGGTCAAATCCAGTTAAGCAAATCCAAAACAGGTCATTGGCTTAAAGGGATTGTTGAAGAATGGCACACTGGACTGAAATGGGGTTGGGGAAGAGAAAAGCGGAAATCCTAAGAGGTCAAGTTGTAAACCAGAAATTGTCGCAGAATGGTGCATTTTGAACCAAGAGTAATGACCTGTAGGAGAGTTATTACATCGACTTAATGGGTCATGAGCCATGTATTTTTAAATTATATTAGAAGAGAATGAACTTACCAGACTGTATCACATAGAGAAAGGGCAAGTGATAGTTCCATGAAACATTTTTGTCTGTTGTAAACATATATATATTGAGTCAATTTTGTAAAACTTACTTCTCACTGTGAATGATGATTTTTTTAAAAAAGTTAAATCCAGTGGCCTAGAAAAAATTCCAGGTATGGAACAGAGGCCAGGGGCAGCTTTTCATTTAAAGATTTAGTGGATAGGCTGGGTGCAGCAGATCATGCCTTGGAAGGCCAAGGTGGGAGGACTGCTCCAGTCCAGAAGTTTGAGACCAGCATGGGCAACAAGGTGAAACCGCATCTTTACAATAAAATGCAAAAATTTGCCAGGTGTTTGTGATGGCGCATGCCTGTGGTCCCACCCACTCTCGGGCTGAAGTGCGAGAATCTCTTAAGCCTGGGAGGAGGCTGCAGTGAGCCAAGATTCACACCATGGCCTTCCAGCCTGTCTCCAAAAATAAAAAAAAAAAGAAAAAAGAAAAGAAAATTCTCTAGATACAGAGCTTTCTAAAAAATGTTACATATGAGCAGAATCCACAAATGAAAGACTTCTGCTCCCCCACCCTCTGCAACAAGGGACCAGGGGACCCCACCTATCCACCGCCCTTTGTCACCACTACCACCACTCCCACCACCAACAAAAAGAACAGCCTTATCCCTGACAAGTTGGGTAAGGAATTGCCTGTAAACTAAAAGAGAGAAAACTCAAATGCCCACCAGAATATGAGACTATCAAGTAAATGAAGCCGACCAAGCATAAGAAAAATGGGAATGGTGGGGACTGGGGTGGGGGAAATACATATGCCCTGCCCTGCCCAAGAGGGGCAGCGGTGATTCAGCTCTCAGCCGCTGCTGTGGTGCAAAAATGTGGGCCCAGTGTTGTCAGACCTTGGTCTGTTTTCAAGAGATACTGGAAATCCAGGTTTTTATAATGAAAAACATTTTAAAACACTGGGTAAGCCAAACAAAACATGTCTGAAGGCCTAAACACACTCACACTACACCGAAATGTGAATAGCTGCTGTCTGTGGGTGGTGATACTTGGGGCCACTTATATTTTCATTTTTCCATTTCACTGCATGTTTCAGAATTTTAACAGTGAACATCATATTACTTTTATAATCAGAGGAAAATGAAGGTTGTCAAATATTTAAAACTGCATTAACTAAACAGGTGGACATTTGAGTTTTTTCTTTTTTTAGTTTACAAGCAATTCTTTACCCATCATTTCAGACACCAGGCTGTTCTTTCTGTGGGCGGTGTGGTGATGGTGGTGACAAACGGCGACGGGTGGGTGGGGTCCCCTGGCCCCTTGTTGTTTTATCCTGCATTGAGATCAGGATAAAACAACAAATGTTACAGAAATTTTCTCTGAGTGAATGTTTACATGTGACTAAATTTTTATGTTATGTTTTACAACAAAAGTTTGCAGTACATCACAAGTAATTTTAGCCTAACTACAGCAATTAGGTTTGGAAAAAAACCTCAGGTTTGCTGATTCAAGGTTTGTGGTCACTCTCTTTAGCTATTGTTTGCCATCAGGATTTATTAAAGCAATTGCTTGTTCCATAATATTAGTCTTATTTCTACTTTAAGTATTTAGCCCAGATTCCATAATATGTGAGTCTTCTGGATTCTGGCTAGATGTTGGAAAAAAAGAACAGGCAATTCATCCCCCTTGAGTAATTATAGTATAGTGTACTACAGAGAGTGGTTAGAGTGGTTATGGGTACTAACTGAGTTAAAATTTATAAAGCACTTTGGATCGGTGCTTGGCACAAAGCAGGTATGAAATGATTGTTAGCTGCCATTGTTATTATGACTGCTGTTAGCATAGTCATTTTACTATTATTCAGGAAGTGGCAGTTAAAATGATCATTTCTTGATAGGGAGTGGAGGAAGCATGGGGCGGAAAGAAGAAAAGGAGGTTTGGAAGGGGAAGAAAAGAGAGATGAGGCATTTCTAATTTGCCATTTCTTAGAAGACAAAAAAAGGAGAAACTGAAAAAATTTCGAATATGACAAATCTGGAGGAGGGTCAAGGTGGAACTGTAGGCCCAGGCTAAGGACACTGTTGGTGGCATCCAGCAAAGTCCTACGGAACTACTAGATCGTGACTTTTCTAACTGCAGATGACAAACCCATTCTGGGTAAT